ATTTTTATTTTATAAACTTTTAACAATTTTAATTTTATAGATTTCAAAACTCGCAAAAAAAAGAAATAAAGTTGATAAAAACAAATTCATTTTATGAATGTCTCAGTATACACCAAGTCTGTTAGTTTTTTCAGATGAAACTACTTATAACAGAAGAATATTATCTTGACGCTATAGCTGGAATTTTTCAGGATATATACAATAGTAATTATAGCTTTGTCGTGAGAATTTTATAAATTTCTAATCTTTCTTTGTTGATATGCAACAAATCATTTCTAATAAAGTTAAGCATCTTATTTATTTGTTGCAATCTTGTTCTGCTTGTTCTAATTGTTCTGATCATTCTTAGCATGCCTCAAATCTTTTTTATCACATTCAGGTTGTATTTATAAAATTTAATAAGTTAAATTGACTTTTGATTCTATAATTCGATATTTGCATCATTGACAAGCCGGATAACTTGAAAGTATTTGCTATAGATGATAAAGATTCTAGAGAATCTTTAATTTTTAGATCTACTATGAGTTTTGATTGTGTTGATCATAATTTTTAATGCATTTTTGATACATATTAATTAAGGTTTGATTTTTTGGAATCTCGACTTTAGTTGAATTTTTAGTTGAATTTTTAGTCCAATTAACGAATTCTTGATCGTATTTAACTTTTTTAATATTAGCACCTATTAATGCAATATATTTACTATAAAAGCTAATTTGATATCCAGAACCTTTTTTATATTTCTTGTCAAGTTTTATTGGTTGACAAGAACATTTTTTTTTTCATAAACTTTTGTACGTACATATTCAAACGAAATTTTAATAATGTTGACATTATAATAATAAATTTATTTATAGAACATGTATTATATTTATTTATTATAGTAATTTTTGAAATTGGAACAACAATGTAATTTAATTTATAATGTAGATATTATATCAATATTACAGTAAATAAAATTCAAAAATCTATTTTTTATATACCGATCATGGCAAAAAAATTTTCGGGCAATTTTTTTATAGGTGTTCCAGGAATAATGAAAACAGCTGTAAGATCAAAATAAGAATTTACATAATATGAATATCTCTTCAGGAGAAAATTTTGATATTTGGAGTGACATTAACAATTCTCTAATAAAAATATATTAATAAATTATTTTACAAACAAAAAATATAAACCTGTCTTATGATAATTTTTTTTACCTCATTTAGCTTCTCTAAATAATATAAATATAAATTGTAAAATAGCTACAGATATCTTTAGATAAACAATGACTTCAATATAAATAGAGTAAAAAAAAACTGTTAATCTGGTTACAAAGTTCAAACCGGGATTCTAGTGTTCAAAACTGATTTCAACATGTTAAACTCAATTTTTATACAATAAAATAAACCCTTTCCAGACTTTAAATACCAATTTTCCCTTGATCTAATATATAATCAGCTTAAATAAGAATAAACTGATATGCTGCTGTATATTATTTGAAATATAGTTTGATAAATAACAAACAAATATAAGACCAAGTTCAAAACAATGAAAATGTATTTAACAATGCAACTCTCATGTGGTATACTTTAAAGATAAGCAAAATCATGTATACCAATCTGAAATATATAAATCTTTATTCTATCCTGATGCAAATCTCTCATTATTTTTCTAAAGAAGAAAGAATTTATTTAATAATACAATACACACTCATTTCAAACTCTCTTTAAGCAACTCAAGCGTCTAGTTAGTATATAAAATTTTTTTTCAAACCTTCAATTTCTCTCTTTATTTTCTTATTTTTTTATTTTTTTTTTATTCAATCTCATTTAAAAATTTCAGCCCTATTAAACATTATATAAATTTTAAAAAATTCAGCACTGAATTTTAAAATTCAATACTATATTTTAAAATTCAGCACTAATTATTAAAATTTCAGCGCTACTATATATATTTATATATCTATAATACAATTTTTCAGTTTCCTTCAATCTGTAGATCTTTCCATCATTTAGTATTCGCACCAATCACCAAACTGTTATCATCCTATATTTCAATATTTGTAAATGTGGTTAGTTCGAAGGAATGATTGTCTTTTTTTTTTGATCAGTTCGATCAACATTAATAATTATTAGCCAAGACTTGAAGGATTATCGATAGAATATACCAATACTGCAATTTTTCAATTTGACTTATCAACCTGAGTCATTCGTCAATAGCACTGTCACTTTCTTTTTGTATTTAACCAAGTATAATCATCATTTCTAGCATTAATCAACTTCAACTCAAATTTATGAAATTTATTACTATTTCTTTTCATTACCGTAATACTGTAAATTTATCCTAATGTCCATTTTTTGAAAAACCTGCAATCTGTTAAAATCTATTCTTACAAACTGTATGTATATGTATATATATATGTATTGTACATATCATTTCTTTTCTCTACCATTATTTCCCTGATATTCATTTGCCTGGAATGGCGAATAACAGAAGTTTTTATGGTAACTTATAACAGGCAGGGGATTTACCAAATTAGAAAATCTAATTCTAGAATGATCCACGTGCCAGATCTCAGATTTGATTGTTTGTATATGCCCTTTGATTAGCATTTTTTGGGAATTTTTTATACACCTAATCCATTATTAAAAACTCACAAAACGATACCTTAATAGACAGTAAAAGATTGCTAGTTTCAATAATCAAAATTAATTAGTGCTGGTTAACTCTTGCCAAAAAGGTGAATGAGACTCAAAAAATTGCAAGATTTTATATATTTAAAAGGCCAACGTGCGAAAATCCAAGAACTATCACGATAAGATTTCGACTGGACAAAGAGGGATCTTTGAATCATGAAACTATGAAGTTGAATATAGTAATAGTACTCAGTGTCGAAGATAAGTATATATAATTATTGGCTTAAAATTTATTATCATGCTTTGTATTTACATTATTAATTGGCACCTTAAAGATATTGGTCGTATTTAGATAAGCTCTGAATAAGACTACAATTATAGGGTAAGCATCAAGGTTTTAATACTTTCAGTATAATTAACCTAATTTATTTTATTAACAAGTTATTATGGTCAAATACAGTAGAGCTATTGATATGTGTGGAAGGTGCAGCGCTAGTCAAAAAATGTTAGCATCAATTATAATTAAATTGGTATTGGCAGAAACTTTTTGCATAAATTATGGTGGTTTTGTTTTTGATGAACTTACCACAAATCTTGATGAAGTGAATATTGAAAATTTTGTGGCTGGTGTCGAGGGCAGTCAAACTTTCAGTTGATTGCTATCACTCATAATATGGTTGCATTTATCAATATGGTATTGGTGTTATTAAAGATGAAAAGAAGGCTTTTTATTATTATTTGAAAGCAGCTGATTTAGAAGATTCGGATGCAATAAATGAGATTGGTTTTTGTTATAAATATGGATTTAATGTAGAAATAAATTACCAGAAAGCATTTGAATATTATAAGAGATCTGCTGATTTGGATAATGCTTATGCAATACGTAATGTCAACTTTTCAAGAATAATAGGGAAGCTGATAAGTTTATCAAAGCTTTAAAGAGAAAGCAAGTATAATTTTACTTTTAAATGGTTATTACTGATCAAGTTTTCATTTGGAAATACTAAGTTTTCTGGAATTCCTAATAGCATATTCATTCTAGAATCTACGGTAGATGCAAAACTTTGTGACCATAGCATATAATCCGCTGTTGAATCAATGTTACAGAAATTATTTTGTTGAAATAGTTTAATTTCAGTAAAATTTTGTCTGTCGTATAGAAAATATGCCACAGTATTTAAAGTTGTTGAAGTAGGTTGTTTATTATCTGATT